CCAGTTCTATTTTTCCTTTTTAAAAATAATACTCTTATTTTTGCCCTGACACAGATCTGACCATGCATTTGTCAGCCGACCTGAGGTGTTAGCAATATTTGTGTTCAAAAAGAGCACCAGAGACACTTTGCTGCCGTCAGAAGGCTCGTTGTCTCTATATCTCATCTATGCTATACTCAAATATGAACATATTTACTGCAAATATTCTTTAACATGTCAGTTACTAAAAGCAGCATGCAAGGTTATAAAACCTTCAGTTCTTCTGAAAAATAAATGAAAGAACAGAAGCAGGTAATCTTTGACACATGTCGCAGTAAAATGATACGTATGCCCCAGTGTCACAGCAGAATTTTAATCTCCTAGAGTATTCTCTTAAGTGTACAGCACAGCTTAAAAAAGAACACTGCCACATCTATGGTTTTATTCTTAAATGTATTTTTTTAATGCAGTTAAATAATTCACACACTTATTATGCATAAAGGTGGAATATTTATTTAGAAAGACACTAGTTATATAAACGTAGATACTAACCCTTGCATTATGCAGCATGAAGTTGCTACTGAGCCAAACATAATGCATAATGACCAGAGATGTCACAGTTTTCAGCAGCATTTATGAATTTAGTTCTAGAAGTTTGATGATACTGAATGTCTTCACAAGCAAAGCAGATGAAATGAAAACTTGTAAGTACATGATCTTTAGCTTACTTTAAGCTGCCCCAGGTTCTATTCTGAAAAGTGATAAAGCCAAAGAACCAGTGCTAAATGAATGGAAGAACTACTGACAATCAAGAGTATAATAAGGACTTCTGGTTTAGGTTATTTCAGAGAAAAGTAAAACTTTTTTTTGCATCTTTCCTAAAGAAGCATTATCAACACTGTAAACTATATTCTTGTTCATGCTTAAAATAGACTTTTTGTTAAAGTTTTATAGATTTACAGTCTGCTTTCAGTTATGTCTTTTTTTTTTTTTTTTTTTTTTCCTGCAATTAGTTGTTGATTTTTGGTAACTTATCTGTGATTCACTGTTGTCTTCCAAACGCTTACTGCTAGGAATTAAATTTTGTCCTTTGTAGCATCACATGCCTTCAGAGTAACTTCTTGCCAATTTATATGAACTCTGTATTGTGTGAAATTTCTTTCTTGCTGTCATCACAACCTTCTTTCCCTCTTAAATAGACTCTGGAGCAGACAAAAGTGGGAAGGAGCATGTTTGACTCAAGGGCATGCAGAGAATAGTTAGGAGTGGTGGGTGTAGCTTGATTCTGTATGGCATGGTACAGAAGGTACCTCTGTATGACTTTTTTTTTTTGTTAATGGAACATCTCTTCAGGTGGGAAACCTGAGTGAAAATGGGAAAGAAACTCATGTATGTCTCCCTTTCTACATAAACACCCTTCATCAGTCTTCTGAAAAGTGCTAAACGTGACTGCTGTCTCTAGCCATCAAAATGGAACCTTTTGTGAATGGGTTGTACTCTGATTTAGTCTTCTGGCTTTTCTGCAGAATTGCTTGCATATGACAAGGCATTAACATTGTTAAACTGCAAAGTATCTGAGGCATAAATATTGCATCTTCCTATTTATGTACCACAGTATTCTGCATGTATACAGTTTTACAAATTATTTTTACAAGTGAATTTAGGAGGATACGAGTGCTTCCATGAGTTTGTCTCAATCTTTTGACATTAAGCATCATTTTAATTATATACTTAAATGACATTTTACATTGGGGAGGGTGATTTTGTTGTAAGCATCATCATCCCACTGATAACTTTTCTGTTTCATTACTGTACTTCCTATTTCAGTATATAACCTTCTACTAGTCCATTGTTTCGGTCTCAGTAATCCCATTTGAAATTCTGGATTGTGAAATTGTGCTGCTTTGGGTTGCTAACAGGAAAAAAGAAAATACTATTACAGAGCCTGTGGTTGAACATACTGTCAAAGATGAGCTCTGAAGCAATATAAAAATAATTTCAGCTGGACATGGGGAAAAATATTAGTGTCTTAAGGCTCTTCCCAGTTACTTCTCTTATAAATGTGTTTTAGGGTGAGTAGATGTAAAATCCTGTGATCTGCAAAATGTTGGTTTTAAGGATTTAATTATGGTAGCTACATTGCCAAAAATATGTGTTTGAACTGTGTCAGTGACTAATGGAAAGATAGTTATCTATATTTTTAATTTAAACCTATCATTCCTTGTCAGATATATTTTAGAAAAGGAGGAAAAAGTTTGTTCCATGAAAACTGCTAGCAGTGATTTTTGTTTTAGTCCACATTCCTTTGTAGATATGTCAAGGACTTAACTTCTTTTAAAGATATGGATAGCTTATTAATTACAAAGCCTAACTCACATTTGTGTGTGTATGCACATGCATGACTCTCTTTATATCACTAACATGTATGAGCCAAATCTTAAAGTGTTGGTATTCATTTTTCAAAGCAGTATAGTTTTTGATGAAATTAATAGAAAATATGTGGCTTAGTGTTGTGAACATTTTTGAAAAGCAGAACCATTGCATTTTTTTGTTGTTCCAGTCTCAGTTACCATACACAAATACTTGTGCGTGCCTAATAATGCGTACACGTTTCCAGGAGCAACAAGCATGGTCAGTAATCAAAAATGAAACAACTAAATACCTCCGTGTTTTACTCTAGCTAGCTGGTTTGCTTTCTGCTCATTCTCCAGTTGCGTATCTCCCTGCCTCGACATCCCCAGGTAGTGGATTCACACTTAAATTGGTGCTCTGTATTTTTTGAGAATGCCTTTTCATTTTGCAGCACTTCTGCTAATGTGTAGTCTTTCTTGTTTCCTCTCTGAACTGGAGGCCCTTTAAAATCATCCCTCGACAACCAGTCTGCTCAGACAGTTGTGTCTCTTTTTTTTTTTTTGCAGAAGGTGCCTTTGGGCATCTTTTCTGGAGATACTGCTGATTAATAGTTTTGATTAGACTGCCATCTCCCGTCATGTAACCTATAAACCTGCAGTAAACCCAGTGGGAGGTTATGTAAGTTACCCACTTCAGTAGTTATTGTTTTCTTTCCCTGTCAAAAAGATTCATGAAACCACACTAATTACAAAGAATTTCAAGGCTTTGTAAGGATATTCAGTTCCATTATTTAATATTGATTCAAATTTGGCTACTGAATTTTTAATACATTAATACTTGTTGTGTGAAATGCTACTTGCATATAGTCCTCTCTTAAGCCTGTAACCAGTGGCCACCCATTCCACAGGAAACTTAACCTCAATTCTGTTTTTGCTTGATGCATTCTGTGGCATAAGAGGTGGAGGTGTCACAGAATTTTTGGATTGATTTTTTTTTTTTTTTTTTAAAAATACAGAGTTCTTGATGTTTTACATATGAAAACTCAGTAAAATGGGCTGTTTGACTTGATACGCTTGCTTAGATCTTATGTTTTGTGCTATCTCTGGCTTTGCATCTTCAATTTGCTACATAATGTACGTGCAAAAAATTGAAGTTGTTTTGAAGATGCTGTTAGGAGAAATTACATGGATGTTTTCTGCTTAAATCACCAGTGATTATCAGTATTGATGTTTTTAAACCAATCTCATTACTGCTTCAATTTATATTCATTGTCAGTTCAAATGCTTCCATCTAAATTTTTTAACTGAAATCTTTTTTGTGGCTATAACAGCTACTGCAGAATCCTGGGTCGTGCTTTTAGTTACAGCTGTTCACTGTACTGTTCTTATGTGCCTAGAGAAAGCTTCCTGTACCTCTTTGAACATTTGTTCACATCTAGCGATTTGGTTTTGCTGTGTTTATTCTGTGGCCTGTGGCTAAGGCATGTTATGTTAGCTGAGTGCTGGAAGAAGCTGTGCTGATGCTTGCCATGTGCTCATTTACTCTTGCGTGATTTTTTTTTTTGTATGCTTATTTTTACGCACATTCAATCTTGCCGTCTCATCATGTTATTTTTCTAGACCTGGATCTGTCTGCTCTTCGGAAAGTTTGCACTGGAGTCATGCTAACGTACTTACTTATCTTGGTTCATCATGTGGCAAGGAAACTGCAGTTGGCTTTCTTCTTCTAAATGGATGGCTTTTTATTTATTTATTTTTAAAGGAAGTCCATTTTATCTGCATAGCATATATGTCTGATTAGAACCTCCCCACTGTAACATTTAAGTGGTTCTTACTTAGATGATGCTAAATGATTGCCTATAAACCATGAAGCCATCCTTTATCTGATCAAAAGATTATAAAACAAACAAATATGGAAGATTTCTACTTACCTCTTTTTAGCTTGGATTGATTTGCTGTTGTGGCTTGAACTATGCTGCCTTATTAATTCTGGCTAGGGATGAGTTCAGTAGGTATTGGTACATTGCTCTGTTTTGAATGTGGTTGCCCCATCTACACAAGCGAAAACGTCGCCTGGAAATGCCACCACATGCTACTGCCACGTGCTGGAAGCAGCACTGTGTAAAGAGGGCTAATGGAAGGTCAGACGCTTCTGCCGCTGTGTTTTACAGATCTTCTGTGAGTTACTATTCTGAGATGCTTTTCAGTGTCAATAAAATATGAGCATCCTCTAGAACATGTCTATTAAATATATTTTATTAGCTGTTTAGTACATGATACATGAGCCATACTAAAGCGAGTGTAGTCTTCTCTTGTTCAACCAGAATGTTGTTAAAATGGTGCCAGAATTTAAGCTGCTGTATCTTTTCTTTTTAGTGTGATTAAGGGGCTAAGATCCCTTTTTCCCAAAAAGGCCCGACCAGTTTAGCTGACAAAGTGTTAGTATGCGCACATACAGACAGAGTTACTTAACTTGTGTAAACTACGCTGTGTCATCATTTTTAATGAAAACACTGTGCCTTGTTTGAACGGGGTTCATCATGTGTGCATGGTTCTTCTGGCTCTCTGACTTCACTGTAGCATCAGAAATCCAACAAGGAAACTGGTATTTTGAGTGCAACTAATTACTGCAGAATGCTAATTGTAACTTCTCTTCATTCCCTTCCGCAGAATGACAGGAAGGGAGTTTTTCTCTCGGTTTCCAAGTCTTTATCCTTTCCTTCTCAAGCAGTTGGAGGTTGTAACCAATACTTTGAACAGGTAAGATGGTGTCTGAGAAAGCTTTGAACTATAAAGTGCAATGAAAAGGTTAAACTGAGTTCTGTCACATACACCCTAATGCTGTTCTTTTCATCAGTGCTTCTTGAAACGATACAGTTCTACTACTATCTTTTGCTAAGGCTTTTTTCCTATAACTTTTGCACATTGCAGTAGGTCTCTGGAGTGTGAACCACTGTTGAATAATTAGTAGTTGCTGTGTTCCTAGGATCAGATGTTAAAGAATGTATATTTTTCAGGGAAAGACAGAAACTGGGTGTTTGACTGTCTCATGTTTAATGATGAGACTTCCGAACATGTTTAAGTGATACAGGGTCATAGGCCTTATATAACCCTAAATGAACACTTTCCAGCCTGTGACACACTGACTCTGGGGAAGGTCCTTAATCTCTTTTTAAGGACTCCAAAAATGGTGGCTGAGAGCTCCAATTTGATCAATGCAGATGATATTGTTTGGGATGACGCTGATGCTGTTACCCCCAGGTTCATGAACTTTTAAAGTAAACCAGTGCCGGCTTTGTTTTTTCTTAAAATGCTGTGGTATAAACTGTGGAAGTTCAGCAGCTGATTTACAGGCGAGGTTCAGCTGTCTGTTTAATGGGCCTGAGGTGGATAGTTGGGAGCGGGAGCTTCACCAGTCGTTGCATGTTTTGCAGTCTCTGCTCTAAGAAAAGAGGGTGTATATATTCTGCGCAGCAGTCTGCTTTACCTGACATTTCGAAAGGTGACAGTGTCATCACTGGAAAATTTTGGGAGGTCTTTAAACTGAAAAAGATTGAAAGCTGCTGCCTGAAATGTTGGTCTTCAGTGCTTTTTTCGATGCAGATTAAGGCTTGTATCTTGCTATTAATCATTAACTAAATCAAGATGTGTTGATTTTGACTTGGATTTCTGATTGTTTTGACAGTATGAATAGTAGCCACTTGGTGTCAATGACAAGAACTATTCTTTTAATAAAGCCTGCTATTTACTAAATACACATTTCCTTCCAAACTTAAAAAAAGACTTTTTTTTAACCATCTTTTTGTAACTCAGCTTTCTCAGTTTCTAGAGAAACATTATCTGTGCTGGTTTTTAATATTAGGAGGCTTGGGATAACGTAGGGAAGCGAAGGCAGCACAGCCTTAAGTGCCTTCCTACAGGGGTCTCCCCAGTGGCGCCGTAGGAGAACTGGATGCCATGTTTGATCCCAGCAGGGTTTGTACTTTCTTGCCATGATCAGCCTAGCATACCTCCTTGAACCAGAAACACAGAAGGGTATTGTGTGTGGAAGAGTCTCAATACTAGCATGAAGGAGGATGCTTTTTTCACCAAATGCTTCTTACCACTTTTTTATTTAGTGAAGCCGAAGAGTTGAAAATCCATCCAAGCCTCTTCCTTTTGCTTTTAATCCTGGGAAGGCTGTATCCATCTCCAATGGATGGCACATACTCAGCACTCAGCATGGCACCATTTGTCCCATTTATTATAAGGTAAGGTGATTTTGTGGTGGTTTTTTATGTGATGGGAGTTCTTTCTTGAATCTTTGGATTTTTTTTATAAAATGCCTTTTTAAGCTTCTCTTCAGCTTTAATTCTTAAAGGAAAAACTGATAATCGTTGGTTGCACTTCCCTATATTATTAATGCTTGTTTTGGGGGATTAGGAAGAATTTCAGCTCATGCAAGCCATTGTATGACTTGTTTGTAAGTTTTCGTCTGCAAATGCTGTACAGCATGATTGCTGCCACAGAGAGGGTAGATGAGAACTGATGAGCTTGACTGACTTTAGCAATGCAAGATTTGCTGTACAAACTTCTGATGGGTTTTTCAGTCCTGAAGAGTGATTGTTCGTAACACATAAATGTAATGACTAATATATAGATTAGTAGATGTGGGGTGGGTGTGTGTGTATATATCTATTTATCTACCTATCCATATCCATCCATATATATAAATACATACATATCTAGCTAGATGAAGATATGGATATATCCTATACCTAATATATTTCTAAGATGACTTTTCAAGTTTTTATACAGTGTAACTTTCACTTATAGGGTGGTTACATTAAGATATTCAGCAGATATTTTTGCTATTCTATATGCCACTGGTGTGAGATGGGGAGCCTGATAGGGAATAGAGCTGTGGTGCGTGAGGAGAAATGAGCATAACCAGTATTTGAGAGGAAGTCTTGCTATCTGTGTGAAAGCTTCAGAGCAATAGGGTGAGGAAGTTCCGTGCTTAATCTTGCTCCTTTAGCAGTGAAACAAGATAAAGTTGTTGTTATCCTAAGATCTTCCAATTTTTATTTTAAACTACTGTTTATGTTAGAAAATAATAATAGCTCTGTCTGCTTATTCTTCACAGCAGATGTGATGTATCTCTTGCTTCTTATGATGTTTTTTTGAATTTTCAAGAATAAATAATGATCTAGCATTTTTTCTTAAAGGAAAAAACCTGTAGTAAGAGTTTTCAAATGCACTGTATTTAACAATTAAAAATGTTTGGTTTTCTGCTGTATTTGAATCTTAAATGCTTTTTGGGGAAATGTTTAAAACTGTATTTGTTGGTTACATCATTGATTAGCTCTGTTTTTATGTTTTTGTTAATACACTGGAGAATGTTTATTTATTATTTTTATTTTTTAATATAATGTTTCAGCATAGTTTCTGATATCTGATAATAATAGATTAACTTTTGATAAGCTTTTGGTTACAGCTTTTGAGTTTTGTCTTTGTTACAACCACTGCTTTTGGCAAGGTACATACACCAGCAAAATAACTCTTCACACTTAATTAGCTTATTCTCTTCAGGTTATTTAAATCCATTCAGAAGATGTGGGGAGAAAAACCCAATAAAATCTTTAAAAGAAGAACCTGAAACATTTAAGAGACCTGTATCATTGGACCTACCTTCCTTTAACTGTGCTCCTAAAGAGGAGTGGTATGGCAGATAAATATTATGTTTTCTGTGTTTCCTTTCCGTTGAATTTGGCAGTAAGTGCTGTGGATACAGGTATAAGACTAGAATAAAATTCTTACCTATTTCAGGCAGAAAATCGTATGTGGGTGTACAGACATGCATTTTCTGACGGGTTAGTTAGCAAAGCATTGGCATTTTTTATGATTGCCAGGGGACAATACCAAGGATTCTGCAGGGGGAAATGTATATATTTATAATACAGCTCAGTGTGCTGTTACTGGCTGTATTTCTGTGTACAGCTCTTGCGCCCTTGTTCTGTGAATACCATGATTGTTTTCAGTTCACTCTGCATTAGTTGGAATACATAGGAGTGATTTACCTGGGTAGGATAAATATATTGCTATTTTCCCTTCTATTTCCCTTCCTATTTTCCATTCTACAGGAGGAGGTGAACTAAAATAAAATTCTTTCCTGTTCATTTGGTTGTTCTTTAGAAGGTGGTAATGAAGATTGTTGTGAAGTAACCACTCGGAGAGGATCAAAGAGAAGGCCTGGTGCCAAAGGCCCTATGCATCAAGACATTAAGCTGTATATATTAACTGTTCCTTTGAATTGCTCAACGTAGTATTGTATTGTATTATATAACTGACATATACATATAATTACATGGTAGCCCAATGCAATTATAATATTTAATTGCCATATTTTTACTGTGAGATTTTTACATTTCTATTGCTGTTCTACTGTCAAGGAAAGATACTGCTTATGCGGTAGGGAGAGAGGAAGTGTGAATATAACCCATAACTGGTCTTCAGACTCTTTCCAGGGCTTAACCCACAATGAAGTGGCATTTGTTTGTTGCTCTGAGAGGATGAACAGAATACTTACTGTGTTTGCAAGCGAATGAGCTGTTCTCTGAACAAAACGGGGTTTAGCAGGAAGAATTCAAATTGGGCTTTTGAAGAGTTTCACTTAAGCCCGAGTGGAATTTTCCATCTAGTGGGAGTAGAGCTGTGGTTGCTCTGACCGTGCTGAGATGAATTGCACAATATGAGTAGGATTAAATGCTACAAGGACAAATCTCAATCTCCGTGCACATACTTGTTACTCCCTGTTGAACTAGGGCATTTGATTACCTATCTGCAGTTCTATTAAAAGTTATTTTTTCCCCTTTCCCCTTGCAGATGTTTTATTTGGAAGGGAACACTTTGATTCACAACTTACTACCTCACTTTTTTTTTTTTGAGCTAGATAGGTCTGCTTTAATGGTTACTTTCTAAGATGAAGGAATGTACAGAATGTTTTTGATTAACAAGGGAGGTAATAGGGAGGTAATGTTTTAAGTATGAAACAAAAACATAACCTCCCTTTCGCCTCCCCCTCCCCCTTTCAAAGACCTGTAATCTGTTCAGAATGATCTAAATTTGAGTTACCTTATGTCCTCTCGTACCATGGCATTGACAGTGTGTTTGTTTAGTGTTAAATGTTCTGGGCTGAATACTCTGAAGGAGTAAAATGGGTATTGGTATATTGACTTGGATACTTTTCACTGATTGAAGTCTAGCCCTATTTAGGACTGTGACTTTTTAATCTTTTAAGGAGTTTTAAAAAAATTAGCTTTCAGATGTCAAACAGTATAAGGTTTTTTAAAACTCTTTGGGTATATGTGCCTTGTCTTCCACTTGACAAAACTGTTTTTAATTCTTAGTGAAATTTCCCCTTTAAAACTTTGTCAAATAGACCGATTTCAAAGCAGTGTTGCTTCTAGGTATATTATGTTGCAAGTCATTGAAGAAACTCACTGTCTGAGGACAATTTAAATAGAAAAGTGAACATCTTTCCATGAAATTAACACAGTTATAAAATAGAGTCTATTTTCTTGTGCAGAATTTTGTAACTTGCATCTTTCTGTAAAATGGAGGAGTTGAATTCCAAAATCCCCTGATGCTGTTTTTAGTCAGGGACCAAGGTAGGTGGCAGTGGGAACCACTAGTCCTTTACAGCTGTTCTCTTCTTCCTCCTGCCCCCCTCCATCCACCACCCCGAACTGCTACGGTGCTATTTTGTTTTTGCACTCGAGTGAGCTTATCATTAGTATACAAGGATAATTCCTGTGACTGTTAGTTAATGACACTAAGATGCAAGGAAAATGAAATTGTGTGTGGTGAGGAAGAATTTTCTGTAAGATGGAGCATTGTCAGCTGCCCTGTTACTGTAAGTCATTCCTAAAAGAACGCTTAGAGGAGAGGGGAAGTCCACATCAGCTGTGAGCAAACTGGCAGCTCAAATGCTATCGTAGTAGCTGTGGTAGGAAAGCTCAAATAAATCTGCTATTTAAGTAGGCTGCATGCATCTGCTAGACGGTACGTGGATTTACATTGATCTAGTTATCCCCTGTCTTGGAAAGGCAGAGGAAATAACTGGAGATGGTATGACTTTTTTTATTGGTACACTTTTTCTTGGAAGTTACTGCTTTCGCAGCTTGCTTGTCAGAATGGGCTCTGTGAAACCTCCTAATAGGCTGCTGGCAAAGTCAGCTCGGTAAATTTCTTAAAAATCGTTCAGCTGAATCAGTGCGAGATGTCAGGAGTGCCCCCCATGATCCCTTTACCACAGCAGTGGGGAGGTGCTGGTGATGCCCGGCTGCTGCGCGGGAGCCCTCCACAAGCACCGGCGCAGCGTCCCAGCAGGTGCCTGTAAATTGCGTCCTTGCGCAGCACTGTGGGGCCTGCCCTCCTGCCGTGCTGGTTGCCTGTGGGGATGACGTTCCTTCGCTAAACTTTGTTTTCTTGGGCTTTTTGCAGGGGTTAGACCAGGCTCTTTAACTCTAAAGATCTGTTACCCTGGGGATTTGGTGGACTCTTTCTGGATGCGTTACGTGACTCTCAACTTCATACGTTTCTTAGCAGAGAATTACATTTGTGAGTCTGTCCCTCTGCAAGAAGTGATGCAGACTGTTGGCCCCAATTTCTTTGAAACTTGGGGGGAAAAGCAAAAAATATCCTAGGGGCCGTGACTGCACATGAGTCTTTAGTCCACACATGTAATGCGGTACTCTTGGTTTTATGCAGTGGGTAAATACACTAAGTTTTGTTGACTTACAGTTAAACCTTTTTAAAGTCTTAACATATGCCAATCCAGACTAATATGCAGGTTACAGAAGACTTTTCTTAAAATTTAAAAGCAAAATATGGGTTTCTGTTATAAAAGATCAGACTCCTTTGGTAAAGTCCAAGAGGTTCAGTGTATAGCGTATAGATTCCATAAATTGTGCTGTACAAAATGCTATTCAGGGATTAAGTATTGTCAGATACCAACAAGCTTAGAAAGCTATTTTAAAAATGCTGTTACTCAAAATACAAATTTTTAATAGAAATACAAACTTGAATTTTAATCTCTCATAATTGTGTTTTGCAGTTTTTATTGGCCAAAGTGAATCACAGTCTATCTTTAAAAATATTTGCTGGAATTCTAAAAATAGACCTTCAGTTGCACTCTGCTTGAATCTGGTACAAAGGACTAATTGTTTTCAATAGTTTTCTCATTAGTAAAATGTTTAGGATCTTTCCC